GGTTCTTTGCAAGTAAGGAGTACAATCAAGATTTGAACTTCCAGGCATGGTGGCACATGCCTATGATCCCAGCACTCAGAAGGCTGAGGCAGGAGGAGCACTATGAATTTGAGGCTTGGGCTACATAATGAGTTCAAGACCAGCCTGAACTACAAACTACACAGTAAGACCCTGTGTCAGAAAACCAAAAAAGAAATTGAATGTGCATTTTGTTTGTTTTGGGAAGAGAAGAACAGGAAGAAGGGAGAGGAAAAGGAAAAAGAATCAGAAGAAGAACTAGAGGTTGTACACACAGTACTATAAGCATCCTATGACCATAACTACAAGTCTAAAGCCCTAAAGCAATCAAGAAATCATAATCCTCTGGTCAGTCTTGGGTCAGTTCTGTCAGTTCCCAGCTATGTCAAAGGGCATGCTCACTAAAGCAGAAAAGGACCCAAGTTTGAGATACACAGGTAAAGACAGAACATGGAGCACTGCTCTCCAAATTTCCTGCTGGGAGTACTGCTTTGTTTCTCTTGTGTGAGAAAACAAAAGGGTAAATAAGGACCAAAATGGATGATAGATATTGGGAAGTAGGAAGAACATGTTCAAATGAAAAAGGGAATGGGGATGAGAGAATAAAAGGAAAAAATGAAAACAAACCTTTTGTAAATGGGGAGAGGAAGAAGGATTGAAGGGAAGGGGGAATGGAGGGGAAAAACATGTGTTATATACATGTACAAATTCCCCATGATGAATGTGTATCAATAAAATTAATGTTAAAAAGACAAAGGAGTTATGAGTTATGCAACTTCCAACAAGAAAAATGTCACTTTATGCTCTGTGTCGGCTTTGTCGCATTGCCCAATATTTACTGAGTATGTATCACATTGTAAGCACCCTGCTAAGTGCTAAAGAATCAAAGACAACACAACCTATCACTTGCTCCTAAAAAGCTTAGAATTACTATGAAAGACAAGGAAATATATCTAACTGTAGATCAAGCGAGAGTGATAGATACTTTGGGTGAGGAAAATGTTGTGGATATTCAGGGGAGGATGTAATAACTTCCAGAAAGAAAGCTTCATGGAGGGAGCTACCTTTTGAACTGTTCCTTGAAGCATGCAAAGATGGCAGGATTCAGGCCAAGGACTGAGAAGCGAAATAGCATGGAATATGCAGGAAAATATAAATCTCATACAGAGTTGGGAATATTTTAGTTATGAAAGAAGACGGAGAAGATAAAAGGGAAGTTCAGAGAAGATTAGAACTAGGCTGTGGACATCGTAAATGTCAATGTAAGTTGTTTGAGCTTCATTTTTATGGGGATCAGGAACCTTTGTATATTTGGGGACAAGAAGTTGATACATGTGGTTGTACTTTGGAAAGTAAAGTGGAATGGAAAAAATGTAAGAGTCAGAAGGCAGAACACCACTGCAGTAGTGCAAGTGAGAAGCGGACTGGTTGAGAAGGCAGTAGCACTGGTATGAAGATGCTGGAAGCAATGCCAGAAGCAGGGAGCAGGTAAATCAGTAAAACTTGATGGTTAATTAATGGCAGACAGGATTCGGAGTATAAAATTTGAACTTGAGAGATATAAGGGAACAGAAAGAAAGACAGCAGGGTAAGAATGTTCAAAAGGGGTAAAAAAGAGAAAAGGATTATTCTGATTAGGAACTTTTGTAGTTTGTGAGTATTGGACGTAAAAGTGGCAATGTTCCGCAGTTAGCTACAAATGTCACCAGTTTAAGAGATGACAGTGGGAGCTTTTAGGATGGATGAGAATGTTAAGGTTAGAATGCCGTTAAGCCTGTCACAAGCAGACATTCTTGAAAGTTTTTTGCCAAGCTCTCGCTTTGTTTTCTCTTTCATTTGACACATGGTCTTTTTGTGTTATAGAGAGTAAGAAATAATATATAATCTTTGCCCCAAATAATGATCATCATTATAATCATAAGAGTAGTGACTATTTACTGATCTTTTAAGTTAAGATATATATTATTTAAGTTAAGATACATATTATTTTCATCTTAATATTAATCTGATGAGTTATGCATTATTATACCATTTTATGGAAAAATTAAAGGTCAGAAAATTATCTATTTACCCAAGATTATATATGGAACATTATTAAGGAGTCTCAATTGAAATGCTATTTACTGGTTTCCAAAGCCCCTGCTTTTAACCTTTAGAGTGTTTGATGGGACAGAATGTGCATTCTGAATAAATTGAAGTAACATATGGTACATTTTACATTGGCTCATCGAAATATCTGAGGCTGGGTAATGTACAAAAAAAAAGTCCCTTACTTAGTTCTCATTACTGTAGGTTCAAGTGTGTGATCCTGGCATCAGCTCAGCCTTAGTAAGTGTTCTTCCATAACTCACTTTTATGGAAACTAATTGGGTCACATGAGGAGTATTTTAATTTCTTCAGAGGACAGTAGCATTGTGCACATGATTTGGTACCTAGCAGTTAATTAATGTTTGTAGAAGGCAGGGAAGTGACAGAAAGTGTGTGTGGTAGATATAGCAAGTGCTAGCGGGCTGGATTTGCCCTGCTGGAGAATGTGAAGGGCCATCATGGAGAGAAGACTGTAGAGGTTGGGAGGGGGAGATTATAGGAGGATTAAGAATGTATCTGGAAAGAGTAAGGAAGCCAATTTGGCAAGAGGGTGCAGTTATATATGTATATCTCTCAGGAGGTAAATCTCAGAAGGTATGTTGGATTCAGGTTACTAAAGAGTTAAGCACTTTGGACTCCATCCTATGAGAAGTTAGAAGATACTGAAAGTCTTTGAGCCTGGGAATGACATAATTAAAAATCGGCTTTTGAGACAGTAAATCTGACATTTGTTGGCAGAAGAGATTAGGGGAAAGATGAGGGGCAAGCAGTTCATTTGTGAAGCTGTTGCCACAAGTCAATCTTCTGCACAGTAGGATTGAGAATGGAGGATAGAAAGAGCTGAGGCGTCTGCTCAGACATAGCTGAGCTGCACTGAAAAGCCCCCATCACCATCCTAGGTTTATAGGGATAATGCTCTGGAGTAGCTGCTTCCCTCTCTTTAACCTCCTATTATTTCCTACCCCCTCAGCAGGGAAAAGAATTCTAAGAAAATGGGAACCAGAGTAAGGAAACTTTGATTAGGAGGCATAGTAGAGAAGTACCCAGAGTTTGGGCTCTTGGGAGCAGCATCCTTGCACAGCGTGCAGCAGGAGAGCTGCTGAAAGGAGATCAGAAGCAGGCTGTGGACAAGGTGAAGCAGGATGAAACTTTGGGTGAGGAAGCCATGAGGAATGGATGGCAGAAAGAGTCCTGAACCAGGAGCCCAATACCTAACTGGAATCTCCCATTGCCACATACACAACCAAAGTGACTTCATCTCATCTCTCCAAGAGCGCTACAGTTTCCTCACCTGTGAAACAGATCTAGCAGACTTCAGACAAGAATTGACCTGCCCAGGCCCTGGGAAGGGTCAGGTGAAACGTGGGTTGTGTGCACTGTCTACAAAGGTAGTGAATCTAATCTAAGGGGCCGTGTCATGAGTTTTATAGGTGTGCCCCACTTCCAAAACCCCCTTTTCAGAAGTGGAGGAATGTTTTTAGGGTCTCTACAACTATTTGGATCAAAAGGCAGCACCAGCCTATATGTGCTCGCATCTCTGGAGAGACAGAGAAGAGAAGTGAAAGATACCATGGGCCCTTTCAGAACTCTCCCAAGGCAAGAATGGGTTTTCATCTCTTTATTCCAGTGCTTTGCATTGTTTCTGCATGGATTAAAACCTGAGGTGCCATGGACAGAGTATTTGGGGGACAACTAGGATATCCCTAGCTCAGAGCTGATCCTGAGTTCTGGTCCAAAGCCAGGTTTCCAGCTCTTTTAGAGATGGAAAAAGCTCATGATAAAAAAAAAAAAAAAAAAAGAAAAAGCTCATGATGGAGAGTAGGTTGTGGCGATCTATAAACAATTCCATTGTCTCCCCAGGGTGTTCCTTTTATCCTGACGTTCATGGTCCTTTCGTGTCTAATTCCTGCCTGGTTTTCCATTCTTTTGTCTCAGGCAATCTACACCTCTTTGTTTCCCATACATATCTTACATGACCCCAACTCCATGCTGTATCTTAACTTCCTTTTGCAGTAACTGCCTTTCCTCCCAACCAGCATCCACACAATCTCCACCTGTCCACAGCCCGGCACATGCATCCCCTCATCCATGAAGGGTTACTCTACAGGAGTAAATCTTCTGTCTCAATCTCTGCTGCCCCTTATACTATACTGCTGGAGTCAAGCCACCTCCCAAAGTCATGATAAAAGAATAAAAAATATCCATTGTCACCATATAATAATATCTATCATAACCATCAGCTGCCTCAGCATTTGTTAATTTATAGCAGTTAATCCTTGAACTAGCACTATGTCTAGTTCATTTTCAGCTCTCAGTGATTGTTTGCCAAGTGCAAAAGGCAATCCTAGCACAGCTTGAGAATTTCTGATCTCACATGAAATAGTGATTCTAGGAGACATCGCAAGGAGAGCTGTTCCTTGCATACTGGATTTATCATAGTCCAGAAGCAGACCGGAGAGTATTTACATCAGTCTCCAAACCCTGGAGCTGCAGCAGCAGCGTGAAGGCTCACTTTTATTTTCTCCTTTTATTATGTCCTTCCCTACCTGCCCTCCCCTCAAGCCTCAGGTTGAAATTGTGTGTTTGTGTCTTTCAGGGAGAGTAAGTAACTGTGGTTTCCCCGCAGCTGTTTCTGCAGCCCACCCGCTGACCCTCAGCAAGCAGGGGAGATGTCTTCCTGTCATTGTGCTACAGTAGGGTTTCTCACCAGCCTGCCAAAAAGGACAGCCACCTGCAGTGAAAGGCTCCTCTAGCCTCATCCCAGACAAGCTATTTCATCCCCTGCAAAGTCAGTGGGCATTTCCTTGTCAAGCCTGACATGCTAGGGCACTGACATGAGCACCTTATCACTGGAGGTGCTTCCCTGATTGATGGCAACCTGCTGTGTTTTTCAGGCCGTGGTGGTGACTGATGGGGAACGCATACTTGGCTTGGGAGACCTGGGCTGCTACGGCATGGGCATCCCGGTGGGCAAGCTGGCCTTGTACACAGCCTGTGGAGGGGTGAACCCGCAGCAGTGCCTCCCCGTCCTGCTGGACGTTGGCACCAACAATGAGGTAACGGGCTCTCTAGGCCAAGAGCTCTGCGGCCGGAAGAGGACAGAGGTGGATGGGTGGGGAGCACTTTCGGGGGGCAATTGTATCTATGTAGCAGTGAGCTATTTCTTTCCTAGCACTCCTTCACCAGGGCACTCCTTTCCCTCATTCGCCTGCCCTTCCTCTCCCACCCCCTCCCACTTCTGTGTCCCCTTGCTTCTTCCTGTACCTCCTTGAGAGCCTCTGTGCCCTTGATGACTCCTGCTTGAGTTTCCCTTTATCCTTAGCCTCCATGATCCCACACAGCTTCCATTCCCCATGAAGCCGCCTGACCCATTGGTAGAAATAGTAGCCAGCACGGGTGAGTGGGCCATGCTCTTCAGCATTTTGGAGGTGAGCTTCCTCAGGGCAAAGATTAAAACTCAAAGCACCAGGGCTTGGGGCTGAAAAGTCTGAATCAGGCAGATGAAAGTCCTGCAAACATGGTGAGAGAAACTAAGCCAAGCTGTGGGTAAGATCCACCTGCAGAATTCCAGGAGGTTTGGGATTGAAGTGTTTATGTGTGCCTGTGATCCTCAGCTGTTTGTCTCTGTGTTTAAAAAAAAAAAAATGAAAAAGTATCCCAGAATCCCTTTTTAATGACTGCATTAATCAGCTTTCTTGTTGCTGGCACCAAATACCTGGTTACCTGGAACACAGAAGGAAGGTTTATTTTAGCTCACAGTTTCAGAGGGTTCAGTCTATAGATGTCTGCTCCAAGGCAGAAAATTCACAGTGAGAGGGCATAAAAAAACAGCTGCTCAACTCCACATTTGTTATAATTTACATAAAGCTGTTAAAGTTATTTTTAGGCTTTTTGCAAAGATGAATTGTGCACTGATAACCCTGTTTTGTAGATCAGTCTTGTCCCTCTTGATTATTTCTTTAGGATAAATTTCTAGAAACTGAAACACTGACAAAAATGGAATGTTCATATTTTAGATTTTTGATTCACATTGTCAAAAAGATAATACTGCATTCTGCTGGGACCTCTTTCAAGAAAACATGCCAAGATCTTAGCATGGACTTCCTCTTCCCTGGGCACCGTACAGCCGCATTTCAAGAATGAGCACTGTAGCTCCTGGTAGGGAATGTTTCAGCAGCTTTTATCCACGATAACAAATGAGGAAGAGACAGGCAAGAGCTGAGAAATCATAGAGACAGGGTGAGATGAGTGAGGGTAAAGGTACTGGGACTAGGACTCTATGGAAAAGCCGGGACCCTTACACCAAATTTGTAACAAACCCGCCAAGAAGAAAATGACCACAAATGGCCAGCAGCAATCATAGGCCAGGCCCTTATACCCTGTTAAAACCTTGTAATTCCAAATTATACGAGTTAAATCTACTTATAATGTGAGAGGAGCATCTGTCCTTATTGTCTTTTTCCCACTGAGGAAACTGAGGCCCAGGGAGTTGAATTTGACCCAGAAGACCTGTTGGAAGTGGCAGGACTAGGATCCTAAATGGACCCTAAATGGAGGCCTGCTCCTCTCCTCAGGATTACAAGCAGCCTGTGCTCATGCCCCTGCCTGAGCTTCTGTTGTTTTATAAGTAAATATCATCTCTTGATGTTTAGAATTTTTATTAATAATTTTAGAACAGTAATTTTTAAAAGACAAAAGAAATAGCATTTTTCTCACCATGCTACATTTCTGTCCTCTCCCAATACTTTTTCTGCACATATACATAGATGTAATTATTCCCTGGTTGTGACTGTCATGTGCATGTAATTTCGTTCCATTTTTTTAAATTAAGATTATTTTGTGAACACTTTCTCTTTACTTATTTAATAAAAGTTTACTAAGTGTTTAGTAGGTGTCAGACACTCTGCTAGGCATGAGGAGATAAATGAGATCCAGGCCTGGGTGGAATATTCTAGCTGACAGTATTTCCACACTGTCACCTAATTGATCATTTTAATGTGTTGTGTCCTACATCTACTCAAAATGTCTGCCTCTCCCCTGAGGGTTCACTCAGAACACAAGAATTCAAACTTGCACAGTGACCAACATTAAAAAAGATGATGATTTATCTCTTTTCAAATGAATTTAATGTCATCTCCCACACTATAGTTCTTTTAAAAATTGAATCCATTTGCAAAATTTTTCTCTCTAAAAGTCCAGGGATACATCTTTCATTCAGAGCAAGCCTGGGCTACAGGAGAGGGAGGCGTGGCCTTGCAACTTTTATCTCACACATCAGTGCAGGAAGGGTGCTGTTGTGAGGGGTTTTAGTGTCAGAATAACTAGGCCACCTGTGAGTATGCCTCCATAAAAACTCCTGAGGCAATAGGAGTTTTATTAATCAGAGTCAAAGAAAACAGCCCTCCAGATTTCCTGTTGAAGGAAAACATCTGTTGTCTACAGCCCTGAAGCTGAGTCACTTTTACCTGCCAACACCAAGGAGATTTAGAAAAATAAATACATTAGGTGGTGATCCAATGAAAGAGGAACATGTGATGGTTAAATTTCAAAGGAGAAAGGAAAGAGAGCTTTTGTCAGTTAAAAACAACATACATGGGAGTCACACTGTCCAACTTAGAAAGGCTTGAAGTACTATCTTATTCAACTCCCTCATTTCACAAAAGAAAAGAGGGCAAGTGCAGAAATGGCCTCCCAAGGATTGGCTCCAAGCCCCGCACTCATCCTGCTGTATGCAAGCCTCCACGGCACTCCAGAAGCTCAGCTTTACATTGGTCCCCCTGAGCCTCACAGGTCTTCTCCTGGCTCAAGTCTCGAATCACTGTAACTTCACTTTATAAGGAGATGGTTTATAGGCCCATGGAACTGATTGAAGAGGCGTAACTGCTCTGGGAGGCAAATGTGGGAGCATTTTATCAGCAGAGCCGGGTAACCTTGCCTTGCGGGTACATGGATCAGTGAGGAAGCAAGGGGTCAGCAGCCAAACTGGGTGGCGCAGTTTCTTCTAACCTTCCAAGATTATCATCACTGTGACTAATAAATATTCAGCATTTGCCATGTACACATGCTCAGTGAAGATGCTTTTCCTAAGACCTTTGAAGCCTGCTCCAGGATGCAATCAAGCTTCCTAAGAAATGAGCAGCAACCATAGCTGCTGCTCTGGGGCGCTAGGCCAACTGTATACACCCAATGCCACGACCTCCCAGACTATAGATAATCTGCATAATATCTTGGTTTGGCTGTTGCTATGCAAGATAAATGGTTATTTTTTTAACTAGGAAGTTTACCTGACCTAGACACAGAATGACTGCTGTGAGGTATGTGTGTTTACTAGGCTGGACCCTTTCCTTGTAGCCCTCTGTTCTGACTTCGTCATATGAGCATGTGGGAGGGAAGCTTAAACCTAATGCTCAGTAAAGAGGATGAAACATTTTTGTTTTCCGTGACATTTTGTTTTCTAAAGAAAGATCTGGGAAAAGCAGAGCTGGACAAAGAGCTCCAGAGGGTATTTCTGGCCCTCTCACTCCCACAGCAGAGGACAGAGATATGGTTTACCTGTCTTCGCCTGAAATTATACTCATGGATGTATTTAGTTCTAAAGGGAACTCAGTAACTGCCAGAGGAGAAAGATGTAGGCACTTAGGTTCTGTTTAGGTGGCAGGCATCCATCTGGGCGCCAGAGCTTGGAAGTAAATAAGCTTGGTCCCCACCCCGGGAAGAGCCATGGTATGGAAATCACACTTTCTTCTCTGTCGCTCCCACTAACATTTTTTTTTAACCTTCAAAAGTTCATTTGGCTTTTTGGAGTCTTAGAAATTCATTTGGAGGAGGCTCATCCAAATGATGTCTATGACCATCATTTTTAATTTGGAATTTCCTAAGTCCAGTCCTGGGACTCATGCAATTCCTATTGATAAATACTTTTTATAGGTTTACAAACCTCTGACAAGATGCAAATGCATATAGAGCACATTCTTTCCTCACAAAACTTGCATTACATGACAGAAATAAAATTATTAGCCCTTTTTTAAAGAGAGGTGCTGGGTGTAGTAGTGCACACCTGTAATCTCAGCGCTTGGGAGGCTGAAGCAGGAGGATCTCTGTGAGTTAGAGGACAGCCTGCACTACACAGTGAGACCCTAACTCGAAAAATAAAAACCCAGGTCCACCCCTTTTGGCCACACCAAGGGCACTCAAAGAGGGAATCCTGACCATTGTCAGCAGGCACAGTGGGGCCCTATTTTCTGCAATACCATGCCTCTTGACTTTAAGATTCCTTCATCTCAAATAACAGGGTTAGCAGGTCTAGCAAATAAAAATACAGAGCACCAATTAAATTTAATTCTCAGACAAACAATCATATTTAGCACAAGTATGCTCCATGCAACATTTCGGACATGTTTAAATTATTTTTTTTACTTAATACCTATCCAAAATTCATATTTAACTGAGCATCCTGTATTTTATCTTGCAATACTACAGGCTGAAAATTTCCCTCCCACGTGCTCATATGATAAAATCAGAATGGAGGGCTACAAGGAAAGGGTCCAGCCTTGTAAACACACACAACTCACAGCAGTCATTCTTGTGTCCAGGTCAGTTGGTGAGATACAGGGCAGAATGTGCATGTTTTGTCCCAACATTGTGTGAAGCCATTTGTGGCAACTATTTTGAGAAGCCATGTTCACCCTAGCCAGAATAGATCCTGCATGCTGGAAATGGGGACATGGACTTTCTTCTGGCTCCACTGCAGCTCTACCTGCTCTCCACCTTGGTCTGCAAAATGAGAGCCTGGCTGTCTCAGCCTTCCCAGCCACTGCTGAACTCGTCTGGGAGGACCAGGCAGACGGCAAGGAGCTGCTGCTTAGGACTCTGGTCGGCACCACAGCAAGGGACAACGAGGAGACACTGTTGTCATGAGACAGTTGAAGCTAGGTTCAATCTCAGCTCAGCCACCTCTAGCTCTTGAGTCTCAGCAGATTATTGAATTCCAATTTTCTTACATGTAAAACAGAAATGAGAAGAGATCAAACTATAAAAAGAACTGAATGAGTAAATT